CCAAACACTGTGCTACACAAGATCCTGAGGGACATCATAGTGCAACAGACCAAATGAGAACTGCATTCCCTGGTAAGGGCTGGACTTAGCAACTGGGGCCCTGGTAAGGGCCAGACTTACCAACTCTGTTATGCACCTCCACTACTGAACTGAATTTCTCCTGGTGTATTCATGCCTGTACAGTGCTGGCTCATGTCCAGACTGTGGAAGATGCTACACTGATTTCACAGTCTATAGAGTGCCGGCTCATGTCACCATGAGATTGGTCAATTGGCATTGTGGGACCGTGTGGTCCCAGGCTGTGTGCCTGGCATCCTGCTGGGACTGGCAGCCTCTCATTGTGCTTTGTTTTAAGTGGCTCTGGAGAGTGTCTGTCGATGCCCAGGCGGCATGAGGACATGGCACAGTGTGTGCCTGAGGGGAGGAGTGTGAAATAAGAAGAAGTGTAAGTGTGTGGTCACACATTTAATTGCATTCTGATCTCTCCGGCCTGTATTCTCCATCACCAGGTCCTCTGTACTGGGGTGATAAGCCTGAGTGGTCCAATATGTGTGTGTGTGTGTGTGTGTGTCCGTGTCCGTGCGTGCAATTAGGAGTATGTGTGCATGTGGTAAAGAACAGATGAGGGAAATAAATAAAGTATCTGTGTGTGTGTGCTCCTTCCTGCCTGTACATAATGACCCATCCAGAGAGCCTGTCTGATTGAGGATGCATAATTGCTGCAGCCTTTTAAGGTTCCCATCATTATCCCCCTGGGACTCAGGCCAAACACACAGCACAGGGATGTTTGTTTATCCAGCGTTTCTAATGTGTTATCCTAACGTTCCCCTGCAGAACTGAACTGCAATATGGTGAGGTAGGCCTGGTCCAGTAGCCAGCCATATTCAGAGCAGCTAATCTAGGTCTTGTGGTCATCTGGCCAGAGCAAATCAGCATGCAGGAAACGTGAGGCCCAACTCCCTGGAAAACAAGTGGACCTCCTTATGGCCACCGGCCACAGTGACTTTACACGGTCTCCTACACAAAGCTATGGCCACAGATTCAGCCTGTTTCCTCACACTGCCTGTCTTGGTGAGGATGTATCATTTTACACTACAAAGAAACTATCGTCTAGCACTTTGTATCTTTGTCTCTCTATCACCTCTGTCTCTATCACGCTCACTCGGTTGTGAAAAAAAAGTATCATGTTGAGTCGTTCAGACAGTCTTCCTGCAGGGGAGAAATATTGTCTATTTTTTCACTTTGTTATTACTTCCTGGCCAAAAATCTCTAAATATTTAGATTGGGATAGTGGATGTTTTAAACAAGGGGGTTCCACTTAGCCCGGCTTGTTTAGAGGAAAAGAGAGTGATTTACTGGGATCAAAAGGGGAGAATTCCATCATAACGATCTCAGAGGACTTATTTATGTATATCCAAAACTTTCAGTCAAATGCATTAGCATACATTGAAGCCTGGGAGCTTCTACAGAAAATACCACAAAGGATTATGTACAGGGTGTGATTTAAGGACCAAGAGCCATTTGAAAGCATTGTAAAATGTATTTGTTATGGCTACCCTCAAGAATTTCCCTGTATTTAGCACCATCCATCATTCCTTCAATTCTGACCAGTTTCCCAGTCCCTGCTGATGAAAAACATCCATGATGCTGCCACCACCATTCTTCACTGTGGGGATGGTGTTCTCGGGGTGATGAGAGGTGTTAGGTTTGCGCCAGACATTCCACTTTCCTTGATGGCCAAAAAGCTCAATTTTAGAATAATCTGACCAGAGTACCTTCTTCCATATGTTTGAGGAGTCTCCCACATGCCTTTTGGCGAAGACCAAATGTGTTTGTTTATTTTTTTCTTTAAGCAATGGCTTTTTTCTAGCCACTCTTCCGTAAAGCCCAGCTCTGTGGAGTGTACGGCTTAAAGTGGTCCTATGGACAGATACTCCAATCTCCGCTGTAGAGCTTTGCAGCTCCTTCAGGGTTATCTTTGGTCTCTTTGTTGTCTCTCTGATTAATGCCCTCCTTGCCTGGTCCGTGTGTTTTGGTGGGCGGCCCTCTCTTGGCAGGTTTGTTGTGGTGCCATATTCTTTCCATTTTTTAGTAATGGATTTAATGGTGCTCCGTGGGATGTTCAAAGTTTCTGATCTTTTTTTATAACCCAACCCTGATCCTGTACTTCTCCACAACTTTGTCCCTGACCTATTTTGAGAGCTCCTTGGTCTTCATGGTGCCGCTTGCTTGGTGGTGCCCCTTGCTTAGTGGTGTTGCAGACTCTGGGGCCTTTCAGAACAGGTGTATATATACTGAGATCATGTGACAGATCATGTGACACTTAGATTGCACACAGGTGGACTTTAACTAATTATGTGACTTCTGAAGGTAATTGGTTGCACCAGGTCTTATTTAGGGGCTTCATAGCAAAGGGGGTGAATACATATGCACGCACCACTTTTCCATTATGTATTACAAATAAAAATGAAATACCTTATTTACATACACTACCGTTCAA